TATTCTCTCCATTTCACAGATGAGGAAACTGAGGCTCAGAGAGGTGAATTCATTTACCCAAAGTCACACAGCAATTAATGGTGGAGCTGTGATTTGCACCAATCTGTGTCTGATAGGTAGCCTGGCTCAGAGGAAAAGGAGTAGATTAGAAGCCAAAAAAGCCACAGCTTTTGCCTCTTCATTGTGTGGGCAATTCATCTAACCCTTCTGAACTTCATTTTCTTATCTGCATAATGGGGACATTCTATTTTCCCAACTTCTTGAGGTGAGAATCAAATGGCTGGGAAACAATGGTTCTTGAGAACCTGCTCTCTCAGGGCCTGAGTTTATGCCTTATGCCAGTTTTGGATGGAATTATGGTGAATTTTATCTTTGTAAAATTCTCTTCTGAGTTTTCCACAAAACATTTATCTTTCTTCCACAAACAGAGAAAAATAATTTAGGTACATTTTTAAACCATCTCATTTAATCCTTGCAACAACTATGAGATGGATGATCTTATTTGCACTTTAGGAGAGAAGTGATTAGAGAGAAAAGGAGTAACAGAGCTGGGGAGCCACTAAGAAAGAACCTGAACCCAGTTCTGTCTGACTCTCAAATCTCCATTCCTGTCACTCCATGGAGGCAGATCCTCCACCCTGAGAAGGTTCTGGAGGGTTTGAAGTAGCATTTTTTTAGATGGACTTTATATTTTAGAGCAGTTTTAGGTTCACAGCAAAGCTGAGTAGAAAGCATCAATACACAGAGTTCCCATATTACCACGTCCCCACTCCCCCGACCCATACACCGCTGTCCCGCCATCAACATCCCCACCAGAGTGGTACATTTGTTACAATTGATGAACCTACATTGACATGCCATTATCACCCAAAGTCCAGTTTATACTAAGGTTCACTCTTAGTGTTGTACATTCTACGGCTTTGGACAAAAGTATAATGACATGTATCCACCACTATAATATCACACAGAGTAGTTTCGCTGCCCTAGAAATTCTCTGTGTTCTACCTATTCATCCCCCCACCCCCTGCAATAACCCCTGGCAACCGCTGATCTTAGTGTCTCCATAGTTTTGCTGCATATAGTTGGCGTCATACAGTATGTAGCCTTTTCAGATGGGCTTCTTTCACTTAGTATTATGCTTTTAAGATTCTTCCTTGTCTTTTCATGGTTTGATAGCTTATTTCTTTTTTAGCACTGAATAATATTAGACTATCCCATTGTCTGGACGTACCATCGTTTATTTATCCATTCACCTATTGAAGCGCATCTTGGTTGCCTCCTAGTTTTGGCAGTTATGAACAAAGCTGCTGTCAACATCCGTGTGCAGGTTTTTGTGTGGACGTGGGTATTCACTTCCTTTGGATAAATACACAGGAGTTTGATTGCTGGATCTCATGGTAAGAGTATGTTGAGTTTAGTAAGAAGCTGCCAGACTGTTTTCCAAAGTGGCTGACCATTCCCACCAGCAATGAATGAGAGTTTCTGCTCCTCTGAAGACTTGAAGTAATTTTTGGAGAAAACCAGCCCCAGCTGAAGGAGGTGGGGATGCAGCCACTCTGAGGGTCCTTGGGCTCTCAAATGGGGCTGACCTTCCACAGCAGGCAGGAGACACTGGAGGCTGGAGAGAAATGGCCTGGGCCCAGTGCCACCAGGGAACTGACACCCTTGCTTTCCTAGAGCTCACACTCTCTGCTGTGTGGACAGCCAGCCTTGAGAGCAGGCCTGGGGCTATTTGGGGACTCCTCTAGGTCAGTGACTTTTTTTTTTCTTTTGGCCACACCACGTGATCTTAGTTCCCTGACCAGAGAGCAAACCCATGCCCCTTGCAGTGGAAGCACGGAGTCCTAACCACTGGACTGCCAGGGAATTCCCTAGGTCAGGGACTTTGGATGTAATCCTGCCTCGGGGTCAGGACCTCCAGTCTGGCTTGGCAGCTGCAACCCTCATCCTTTTGTCTCCTGCCCCCACTGCCATCCCAGCCCTGAGTCCCAGTCCTGATAACCCTTCAGCTGCTAGAAACTTGACTCCCTCCGCCCCAGTCAAGTCGTCTTGCCCCCAGGAGACTGCCCCTGAGCCAGAATCTCTCAGATGAGACCCCATTCTCTAGCAACCAACTTCTGCTTGCAGGAGCAACGCCCATCATTTGAAAACTGCTGGCCCCTATCCCTGCGGGCTTGTTTCCTCTGTTATATACATGGGGATAGTAGGCTATGGGGCTTTCAAACACTGTAAGAATCTCATGAGATAAGAGAAAGAGCTTGAATTGAAGGGCCCAATTCTTCTGTTAGGAAATACCCTGTTAAATGGTACCACCAATTTCACCTGCCCCAGGGTGAGGGGGTGCTGCCTACAGAAGACATTGTCACCCTTAAGGGGCACAGAGTCTTCCAGCAGAAAGGAGTTTGAGGAGGCTGCAACCTCAGTGATTATACTTATCATGAGCTCTGGGCATTCCTAAAAAAGCCTAACTCTGGCAGTCTGTCACAGTGCAGGTGGGGTTACATTGCAGAAAGCAAAAACTCAGGGACCCTTTCATTCCAGGATAACGACTGGTTGAGTGCTTGGCTTGTGGCAGCCACTATTCTAATGTCTATTCTATTCTAATGTACATCGCCTTCTCCCCTCCCTCCTCCACCCACCTCCTTCTCTTCCTCTTCTTCCCTCTTCTTTTTGGTAACAGTTTTATTTAGATATAATTCACATACCATGCAATTCATCTATTTAACATGTACAAATCAGTGGTTTTTAGTATATTCACAGAATTGTGCAATCATACCATAATTGATTTTAGATATTTTCATTACCCCAAAAGGACACCCTATACCCTTTAGTTATCACGCCCCAATCTCCCTGCTTCCCCAGCCCCAGACAAACCATAAGCTACTTTCTGTCTCTATAGATTTGCCTATTCTGGACATTTTATATAAATGCAATAATAAACTTTGTGGCCTTTTTTTTTCTGGCTTCTTTCACTCAGTACAATGTTTTCAAGGTTCATCCATGTTGTAGTCTGTAGCAGTACTTTGTTACTTTTTCTGGCTGAATAGTCTATTGTATAGATATACCACATTTTAAAAACCCATTCATTAGTTGATGGGCATCTGGGTTACTTCTACTTTTTGGCCATTATGAATAATGCTGCTATGAACATTCATGTACAAGTGTCTGTGTGAACATATGTTTTTATTTCTCTTGGGTGAAATGGAGTGAAATTGCTGAGTCAAATGGTTGCATTACCTTCTTTAATTCTCACATCTACCCTTTGAAGTAGAAACTATTATTATGTCACAGTTGAGGAAACTTGAAACTCAGAGAGGTTGCCCAAGACCACATGGTGAGTGAATGGTGGAGCAGGGTTTGGAACCCAGGAAGTCTAACTCAGATCCCATGCTCATCCCGCCTCCAGGGTATCAGAACTTTTGTTTTACCTAAGAGGTAGCCTAGTCGACAAGCATCTGAACCTCAAAAGCGGGGCCAGGCCCCTCGGTACAAGGATAGCCCAGCAAGGCATGGACTCTGAAGGGCCTAGTTTGGGGGAGGGGGGCTAGCCAGTTATCTTGTTTACCTCCTGGGGTGACCAAGGATCTAGGAGACTGGGAGAAGGCTTAAGGTTAGGGTTTCTGGGTCCTTTTCAAAAGTTTAATCGTTTCTGTGATAGTGCCTCCTAGACTAGACTGCCTTGAGGATAAACATGAGCTCCTGGAAGCAGTGTAGTAAATGGCCAGAACATAGGCTTTACAGGAGGGAGGAAGTCTCCATCACCTCTTTGTGCCTGTGTTTCCCCATTTGCACCACGCCCCTGCACTGAGGGCTCTTCAAGCTCTGACTTGTCAGGTTCCTCCAAAGATGACAGGTTTCAGAGGAAAGTAGGATTCGACACTCTAGGGCAGGGCCCCAAAGAGGCCTTGGGAGGGGAAACAAGTCTGTGGGAGGAAGCAAGTCCAGATTCTTGCAAAACAGGGGGAAAAAAGTGGGACCAGTAGAGGATACTACAGAAATTGTCTCTGTGGGAATCTGCTCTTGGGGTCTGGGGAAGGAATTCGGGTGCATTTAAATTCCCCACCTACACTCCTTTTCCGTACCTCACTTTGTTCCTTTATAGCATTCCTCATTGTTCTAACTAAATAATTGAGTCAGGACTGTGATTCTCATGCGAGATCCTGGGTGTAGTTTTGTTCACTGCTGCCCAAAACTAATTGCCTGCCAGGTAGTAGGCAGGGTTGTCAGATAAAATGCAAAAAAGCCCAGTTTAATTTGAATTTTAGACAAGCAATAAATTATTTTTAGTATGAGTATGTTCCATTTATTTGAAATTCAAATTTAACTGGGCTTCCTGTATTTTATCTGCTAAATCTGACAACCCTAGTAGTAGGGTCTTGATAAATAATGTGGAACAAATGGATAAATGGAGTTTTGCCTTGGCTCCGCCCTAAACTTGCGGTTTGACCGTTTGGGCAACGCTCCTCCCCTCTCTGGGCCTCAGTTTCTCTGAGAAGTGGGAGTTCGGGCAGCGACCACAGCGCAGGGATCGCCAAGGCAGGAGAGCGCTGGGTGAACTGCCAAAGAGCAGGGAGGAAGCTAGGGTCATGCCTGTACGGGACAGCCTGGACCTCCATGCTGGGTACCTCCAAGTCCTTGCCGGAGCCGGCAAAGCCCCAGCCCCTCCCCTCCAAAGCTGGGGCCTGCCCGAGGCTGTCGCCATGGAGATATGGGTAGCCTGGAGCCCCTCCCCCCAAGCCACGCGTTTCCGCTGCGTTGGAGCCTTCTGATTGGGCGGCCGTCTGGACGCTACCACCAGCCCAGAGCCCGCTAAGGGGTGGGGGCGGGATCTTCGTGAGAACCTTGCCCTGAAAACCTGTGCCTGTGGCCTTTCTAGAGGAGGATGGGTTCTCTTCTCACGCGGGGAGAAAGGCCGAGTCTCAGGTCGGAAGAGTGATCATTGCTTCTCCTACTAGAGCGTATGCTCATGCTTCTCCCTGAGAAAGAAAGGGGGCGGGAAAGTCGGCAGCGCCCCCTCGGGAGCCTATTCGGTCCCCAAAACCTGGAACACCGGAAGTGCTGGCGACGTGTCAGTGCGCCCTATTCTAAACCTTCCCCGCTAGGCCCCCTTTCCTATTCAGCTGTGGGATTCCGGGGCCGCCTGGGCGCTTCCACCTCGCCACTTCCGCATTGAACCGCCGCTTCAACCCAACTCTGCGCGCGCTCCCTCACGTGCCTTGGTGGTTGGGCTAGCTCCTGGGAGTAGCCACGCCTTTTCCCGCGCCTGGCAGGCAATGGGCGGGCGCCTCCCGGCGGGGTGGTGGGTAGTTAATGAGGGCCGGGTGCTGATTGGCTGCAGGGTCGTGGCCGGGGCTGGGAGGTGGGGTAGGTTGTTCCTGAGGTGGGAGGTGGCACCCGTGGCTGAGAAGTAGGCCTGAGAGCGACATGTCTCCGGTGGCTGAGGCACAGCGGCCCGTGGCGCTGTTTTTCTGAGTCCGGGGCGGCCTGGCGGGGCTGAGGACAAGGCTCGGCGGAGGCTGCCCCCCGCTGTGGAGGCCGCCATGCTGGGCGCCCGGGCGGTTGAGGGAGCCGCCGTGGCGCTCCTGCGACTGCTGCTGCTGCTGCTGCTGCTGCTGCTGCCGGCGCTCCGGGGACCGGGGCTCGGCGTGGTGGGCTCGGCTGGGGCCGGGCTGCCCGAGAGCGTGATTTGGGCCGTCAACGCCGGCGGAGAGGCGCATGTGGACGTGCACGGCATCCACTTTCGCAAGGACCCTTTGGAAGGCCGGGTGGGCCGAGGTGAGAGCTCCTCGGCTGAGCCGCCGGATTCCGGGCCTGCCGTGCCCGGCGCAGCGCGCCGAGGGCTGCGGGCCCCGAGCCCCTTCCTCGACCCTGGGGCCACGTCTCTGGAGCGAAGTTTCTCTCTACGGTTTCCTCGGGAACCCGATCAGAGCCCAGAGCCTGGCATTGGCTCGAAGCTACCTAGAGCCGTCGAGGCAGAGAGTTGGCGAGAAGTGATATTTGGACCTCGCATCCTGCATTTTCTTAACCCCTCACCTCCACCCAAGCTAGGAGAGTAAAGACGAGGGCGGCCTGTTGCCACTTTGAGGCCTCACGGGTTTTTCGGTTATCGCTGTCCCTGACCCGGAGGTTCTGCTCGCCTTTCAAGTCAGTTTCTGGTATATTCCTGCCGACCCAGAAATGGGCCGCTTTCTTTGCGCTCTCTGCAAGAGCGGGGCTTGATTCTTAGCCAGAATGGAAAGGAGTCTTCGAAGAGAATGGGCCAGGAAAGTTTGATTGTAGCCTCCTCCCCCAACCCCCTTTGGAGCGGGGCATGTGTGTGCATAAAAGTAGAAGCTGCAGGCCCTTTCCAGAGGGCGGTTATGTCGAAACCATACTGCACAGGGGGCTGGTGGTGTGTCAGCTGGGTCAGCCAGCGTAAGGTCTGAATATTCCGTCTGCGAGTGCGGAGAACCTACCCTAAGTGGTCCTGAGAGGTGTGATTCCAGCTTATGGGAAAAATGATTTTGACTTAATTGATTGAGCAACAGTAGTTTTGACAGAGCTGCACAGTTCTCAAAGTTAGTGTAAGAACTGCCATGGGAGCTGGTTAAAAAATACAAATTCCAGACCTGTAGATTAAACCCAGGTTTCTGCACCCAGGGCTTCTGATGTAGGACATCTGCAGACCACCCTTTGGGAAAATCTGCTCTAGACTCTGTTTCTTCTGTTAGTAGGATTGGAAAACAGGATTAAGAAGGAAGTTCGTCGCTTCATGTGTTGGAAAGAGATTTATGCCGTATGCTGGGTTCAGAGGCTGCCAGATTGGCAATATGCCATCTTCAGAAAAGTAGGAGACAGACTTTCTCACTCTTTTTTCCACAATGCCAGATTTGGCTCTTGCCTTTCCTAAAGGGTTTAACTTAGTTCTTCCAACCAAGTTAATTGCAGTGTCCTGGAGTTTGTTACATTGGGGAGTTTATTGCTTCCATACATGTCACGGTGTTGGGACACAGAGCTGTTTTCTGAAGCACTATGTTTGTCTTCAGTTTAGCTCTGGAATTTATTTAGCCCTGGCATGTAGGTCTCAGTAGCCTGGGTTCAGCTGAGTCAGGGCCCTGGTCTCTAGCAGCTGTAACAGCAGCCAAAGCCAGACTTAATAGCAGGAGGTCATTGCTATCTCCATCCTGGACCCTTCCTCTTTCTTCATGGGTGTGGGCAGGGAGGAAGGAGACCGTTTATGGACTTTGCCTCTAGAGATAGCCATGGTGAGACAGTGTGCAGATGGTTCCTTTCACTTAACAGATACCAGGCTTTACATAGGTTACATTATCCTCTTTGGTCCGTTGTGCAGAGGAGGGAGCTAAGACCACACAGGTTTAGTCCCCAGCTACTCCCCTTATTCAGAAATCGTTGTTTTAATTTGCTGGTGCCGGTGGGTTTGGTTTTTTTTTTTTGGTCTGGTCAGCACTCAGCCAGGCTCTCTGTCCTTGGGTTATTGGCTCATGGTCGCAGTTCCTTTGGAAGAGTTTATTGTAGCAGGTAAAAGTATGCGACTTACCAAATTACCAAAGCTCATGTGTACTGGAGTCCTGTCTCAGACAGACCCTGCCACTCCATAAAGAGGTTCCCTGCTCCACTCTGGCGGTCCATTTGGGTATGAATTGTAGCAGTATAAAGGCGTGGATGGAGAGTAGAGGGCGGTCGTTGGCTTGTAGGCTGTTGTAGCTTGGACCAGCCAGTTGCAACATTGCACTTAGAGGGCTCCTGAGAGTAGCATTTTGTTGGCTTTAGGTCTGGGGCTGAGAAGTGATTTATCTTCCTCTCTCAGAAGGCAGCTCTTTAGTTTCTTTCTGTGTGAAGGAGTCAGCACCACCAAGGGTGGTGCAGCGGTTCCCTCTGCCTGCCCTTCTCTGGCACTGTTTGGGTAAGGGTTGCCAGGTATTTGGAGACCCTTGCCTCCTGCAGCTATTTATAGTAATTGCGGTAGGAGCTGTATGTCTGTCTTTCCCACATGCCTGTGATATTGTTTCCAGCACGCGAGGAAAGTCCATTTTTATGTTGAATGAATTCAGGTATTTGTTGCCAAGTTAATCCAGATAGGAGTTTGGCCTGCTTTTGAACTTGCTGTTTCTCTATAGCGTCTTTGTAGTTCAGCATTCTCGTAACCGTGAGTGGGCCAGGGCACCCAGTGGCTTTTGCTTTCAAAGGCACTTCATAATGTTTATTGAATTTCTTTTCTGCCTTGAGGATAGCTAGTGCTCATAGAAGATGCTGACAGCCTGGGAAAGGCTTTTTTCAACCTGTGTGCTTCAGCAGATGGAGGTACAACTACCGAGAGTGATTCAGAAGCGCTCCGTGTGGGATTTTGGTGTGCTGTGCATTCCAGGTTCTTTTTAACTTGCTCTTTCTGGGTTCCTCTTGACTCTGTGGTGGAAAAGACCTGGTTATTTGGCTTGAGGGCATTGAACTTGGCTTGGTTTTAGGAGATATTTCCTCTTCATAGAAGGATGCCCGCTAGTCATTTGTATGACCTTGAAGTATTCGCTTTCCCTCTCTTGAGCCTTCAGTTTTCCTTCATAAAACTTGTCATGCTTTTGAAATCTGTGACACGAGTCTGAAAGTTCTCCTGTCCAGAGTAGGTTAAAGTGTCTCTATCTTTTTCTTTGCTCAATGACCTTTTACATGGAATTAAAAGTGGAGCAGAATGTGGCTCTGGAGGGGAAAAAAGCTGGCCAGGGGCCTGAGCCCATCGGATGACTAATTCTGTAGACCTAACGAAGACCCTTTCCTTTTGGCTGGGGAAGGATTTGGCTTTGGGGAGATAAGAGCTTGAAAAGATAGTGTGAGAGAGACACTGCTACCTCTGATTTGCTTAAGACCAAGGGATTTGCTTAGAATTCTCTTCCTATACTGCCACATAAGGGGCAGACTTTGTTTGCAGGCCCTCCTAGAAGCAGTTCACTGGTAGAGAATTTAGGTAGGTGATACCCCATTTTCCAGGTGAGAAAACACCTAGAGAAGACAACTTGTTCCACATCACATAGTAGGTGGCAGAGCCAGGATTCAAATCCAGGCCCCTCTTACCTTCAAACCTGGGCTGAATTTTTCACGTAGCCTGCTGACTCCATTGTCTAGAGCTAAAAAGCTGGGGACATAGTGTGGGCCCTTTGGTCCCCCTCCTTTGGTTAACTATCTGAACCATGTCGTACCAGCTGCAGTGGTGTGCTGCATGTGTACACTGTATTTCAGAGAAACTTAGCTGTGAATGCATAAAGGCTGGGGTGGGGGCGGAGAAAAAGTCCTTCTTGCTATTGTCTCTTTTGGGACTTGGGCAAAACTTTGCCTGTGGCAAATCTCGTTGGAAAGCCACTTGGGAAAATATTTAAAGGTAATTCCAAGATTGTTAAGTAGTTTTTTGCTCACATGGCTGAGTTTTCATAGCCGTGGGACTGAGAGTGCCACAGATTACATTACCCTCAGTTTCTCACTTTTTCCATGCTGGAAGGGGGGGAAATGATTCTGTATACATGCACAACCTTTTCTGTGTCTCTGAAAAGCAAATCTAGTGACTGTTGCAAATTTGTAAGGATCACGGTCTTTGAGGAAGAGGGAGATTCTTAGAACTCAGGTGGAAGAGGACTGGCAATCTTTTAATCTTTACAGGTTTGTGGTCTGAGCCTGGAACAGAGCTGGGGCAGTTGGCAGTACATCCTTTGCAGTGCTACTCAGCCCCCACCTTCTTTGATTTCTTGAGGAGAAATAGGAAGAAAAAAATGTCTGGAGACAAAAGTGCAATGAGTTTCCTGTTCATTGTCTCATCGGTCCATCTGATCTCCTGGCTGCCATTCACTTACAGGAACTGTTAACACTTCTGTTTATTTTTCCGAGGGCTTGACCTTAGCCATTGGATCTTTTAGTTACTCTTTTACCTCCCTTAGAGATAAAAGATCCTCTCCCTTGGAGTTTCAGAAGATAAAGCTCCCGGGATGACCGCTCTCAAACGTCACCCAAAGGATCTAGGTGCCAGATGTCTTCAGAGTCACCATGTGAGATTGGAAGATGGTCTTAAAATCTTAATTCCAAGACTTCTCCAAGGAGGAGGAGAGACTAGGCCCATGTACTGAAATCACTGCTAAGTCTGTGGTTTGGAAAGTATCAATAGATTGATGGAGCCCTGGAAAGCATAGCTAGTCATCTCTGGGGCCGGAGTGTGGAATCTTATATTTGAGGAAAGACCTGGGTATGGTTTGTAACGTGGGGGAAAGAAAAACATGTACAGACCCGTCTCCTACTAAGATTGGGGGCAGGCTGAGGGCAACAGAGGTTTTTGGCTCTTCTAATACCCACCCAAGTAAGAACTTTTTACTGTTACTCCACCTTATTCCTTGTCTGTCTGAAACGGGAAAGGTGGCTCCCTCTGGACCTGGGCATCTTAGGCCAGAGGTGCCAATAGGACCGTGGCACATTTTCTTTCCCTGCTAGGGTGGCTCTGGCCCTGTGGAGAGGAGTGCATGGCTTGACTGCTCTTCAGGCACCTCCTTTGTTACCATTTGTTCGTTCAGCGAATCATATTGAGTGCCTACGTATGTGCCAGGGCCTGTGTCAGGTGCTGGGGATATCGTAGGAGCTTGTTTTCCTTTCGGTTTGTCTGCGGAAAAGTTCAAGAGCCTGCGTGAGGTTGAGTTCTATGAGTCTGTGGGAAGTAAGGTGTTTGGACCCAAAGGAAATTAGAGAACATCACATCCTTTTTTTTTTCCTCCGGTACGCGGGCCTCTCACTGTTGTGGCCTCTCCTGTTGCGGAGCACAGGCTCCGGATGCGCAGGCTCAGTGGCCATGGCTCACGGGCCCAGCTGCCCTGCGGCATGTGGGATCTTCCCGGACCAGGGCACGAACCCGTGTCCCCTGCATCGGCAGGCGGACACTCTCAACCACTGCGCCGCCAGGGAAGCCCATCACATCCTTTTTTTAATGAACATATTTCTTTTGACCATCCTTGGAACTTTTTGAATGAAATAATTATAAAAAGCAGCCAAAGCTGGTATCTTAATTTGTAGTAAAGACAATGAAGAATGACTTTCCTAACAGATATCCTGTTTTTTATTTAGACTGAGCTTTTCTGAATGAGAAAAAAACAACATTCTTTGAACTTAATTGTCTTGCGGTGTTCCTGGCCATCCCCCTGGTTTTATGAGGTTTCTCTGAAGCTCTCCCTCACCAGGGAGCCCAGCAGCTGTAGCATAGTGCTTTGTTCTAGTAATGAGTTAGACTTGTTCCCTTCCCATCACTCTGGATATAGTTGGGGAAAAGTCATTTTCACATGCTTTCAAAAAGTTCCGCTATGAGGGTTATGGGAGCTTCTTGGGGTGATTAGTGCTTGGTTTCTTTCATTTTACTCTTCCTTGGTAACGGGTTATCTGATTCTTGCCTTTGTGGCTGGTCTCTTGAGAGCCAGGTGCAATGGAGGTGGCCCCTTCCACTGGGAGGGTTATTAGCATTGCTCTGGAAATGCCTCTGGTGGTTCTGGGGTCTCCACTCTTCTTTTGTGTTCTGCCTCTGACATGGTTTCTCTTTGTCTTTTGTGCCCAGCCTCTGACTATGGCATGAAACTGCCAATTCTGCGTTCCAACCCCGAAGACCAGATCCTGTATCAAACAGAGCGGTACAATGAGGAGACCTTTGGCTACGAAGTGCCCATCAAGGAGGAGGGGGACTATGTACTGGTGTTGAAATTTGCCGAGGTCTACTTTGCACAGTCCCAGCAGAAGGTGAGGCCTGGTCAGGCCCCTGCTTGACCAGTGGGATGTTACCACTTTCGGATAGCCCTCTGCTAAGGGCCAGAGAGTGTGAGACGTGTTCCCAGAAGGGAGGAACAGATGAGCTTTGAGGAAAAGCTGGATTTTTTTTTTTTTTTTTAAAGGCTGTACCATGCGGCCTGCAGGGTCTCAGTTCTGTGACCAGGGATCAAACCCAGGCCATGGCAGTGAAAGCCCAGGATCCTAACCACTAGGCAGCCAGGGAACTCCCAAAGCTGGATTCCTTTTGCCCAGCTGTGTCCCATTACTACACGACTGAACTTGCCTTGGGATTGGTGACAGAAGGCTACGCCAGAATCCTAGTTCTTGGCCACTAATCCTCTTAAGGCCCTCCTGGTTATAGCCTCTCCCTTCTTGGTTGTCAGCACCTTCTTGTTTTTAGCCCTGTTCTTTTCCTGTCCCTTCCTCTGAATTTCCTTCTTTCCATGTTGAGCTTTTTGTTTGTATTCTTTGTTCCCTACGGCCAGTGTGCGACCTTGACAGTGAAGGAACATGGCTTTGATTTAGCTCAGGTAAAGGACTCTAGCCACCCTGGAGTATATCCAGTCCTGTCATTCCTTGAATTACTTTTGAACTTGAAGCCCAGGCAGGTACCTCATGTCCAACTGGGGAAGGGGTGTGAAGCGGGTGGTTTTGACATTGTCTCCTTTTCTCATCTTGGCAGGTATTTGATGTGCGATTGAATGGCCATGTTGTGGTGAAGGACTTGGATATCTTTGATCGCGTTGGACACAGTACAGCTCATGATGAAATCATCCCGATGAGCATCAGAAAGGGGAAGCTGAGTGTCCAGGGGGAGGTGTCCACCTTCACAGGGAAACTCTACATCGAGTTTGTCAAGGTAACGCTCCTACTCTGCCCTCACAGCTGAGGATGAGCTCAAAAGAATGGGTGCAGGGGGGATGTTTGCTGCTGTGTGGGGTTGACCGCTGTTTCCCATTTCCTAGGGATACTATGACAATCCCAAAGTCTGTGCACTCTACATCATGGCTGGGACAGTGGACGGTAAGTTGTGTTTCTGATCTGCTTTTTGACGTGGTCTGAAGGATATGATTGAGGAAGCCCTTGGGGGGATGGTTTAGCTGATCGCTGTTTTGAAAACACTAATACTTAAAGCCAGATTGTGGGGAACCCAGAGTCCGGTGGCCGGGGGTGAAGTGTAGCATGGTGCTAGCCGTAAGCTTCTGAGTAAGATCTGTGTTCATATCTTGCTGCCGCCAGTTAATCAGCGGATTGGTTTTGGACAAAATCTTTTAACCCTACTATAAATTGGGATTAATAATGTTACCCATGGTGTGCCCTGAGCCTTGTAGTCATTTGGAATTGCCTAAAACTCATCCTTATTCTGTTTCTTTGACATCTGTGTCCTGGGGGCAGAAAGAAGAAAAAGGCAGAAGGAAGGGTCCTTGAGTGTTTTGGTGTGCTCCAAGAGAGTGCAGCATTGCTGGGCTGCACTGAGCAAAACTTCATCTATTAATGTCTCCCTGTCCTTGGGATCCAGCCTGAGAGTACATCTCTTTCTCAGGGTTGAGGGTCCTGGCTGCCAGCTTTCCCAGGCTGATTTTTGCAGAGAAAGTTTCTGTCTTAGTGACTTTTCTCCCCCATCCCACCTCTGTACCTTTCCTCACCTCATCCTGGAAGCACCGAGGCTCGCATCCTTTTTTTTTTTTTTTTCGCATCCTATTGTTTTGACATCCCAGAGGATGTCTTGCCACCAGACTGATTTGTAGCCAGAGTCCCTCAGGAGGGGACAGAAAACAGAGGGGTAGTGTGTGCTGAGAACCCACAACTCTGTGGATCAGCTTTTCCTTGATTGCTGTGTGAATCAAAAGGGAATGTGGGATTGTAGGAGGGAGGAGGAGAGGTTTGAAAAGGTTAATCTTTGGGTGTCGGGTCATTGTCCTTGTCCAGTCTGGTTCTTTCTGGGCTCTGAAGAAGTAGGACAGGAAGGGGAGATAGTGAACCTCTCCGTGCTCAGGGCTTTTACTACGTTTTAGTTAAATCTAAAGAAGACAAATGTTTGCGCAGCAATCTGCTCTTCTCTAGGCTGGGAACTGTTTCTACTCCTTCCTGTGGATCCTGCTTAGGTCACAGGGTCTCTTTACTGTGGCTCATTCACTGCCCTTAAGGGCCTCACGTAAATGCCATGGGTCCTACTTAAAAAGTGTTCTTCTTCTTGTGTCAGATGTACCAAAGCTGCAGCCTCATCCAGGACTGGAGAAGAAAGAAGAGGAGGAGGAGGAGGAAGAATACGATGAAGGGTCTAATCTCAAAAGACAGACCAATAAGAACCGGGTGCAGTCGGGCCCCCGCACGCCCAACCCCTATGCCTCGGACAACAGCAGCCTCATGTTTCCCATCCTGGTGGCCTTCGGAGTCTTCATTCCAACCCTCTTCTGCCTCTGCCGATTGTGAGAACAAATCACCATCCTGAACAGGTGGAGGGGTGTGGGAAAGAAACCAAACATGTTGGTTTGGGTTTCTGTATTTTTTACAGTGATTAACAAAAACAAACAAATGAAACACACACACACACACACACACACACACACACACACACACACACACAATTAAAGGAGATGAAAAGAGGCGGAGTGAGTAGAGAGCAGCCCTCATCCACCACCTGGTCCTAGACCTGCTCCAGTCCTAGTTCTCTCTTTGTGGTGGCCCCCAGCCGTCTCTTTCCTCTCCAGGGTACAGAGGGTAAACTGGATCCTACCTGGTCCAGGGTGTTCGTCCGTAAACACAGTGGAAAGGACTCTGAACTCAGAGCAGACACGGTTCCTTTTTTTAGGTTAGAAATTAACAGCAGGGAAATGTCATCTTCTTACCTGAGAAGACTAGCGCTGGGAGTTGGGTATGTTCTGAAGTTATGTCCAGATAAGTTTTCAGATGTCCTGGGATTCAAAGTGTGTGTGTGTGTGTGTGTGTGTGTGTGTGTGTGTGTGTGTGTGTGTG